ACATGGTCATCAAACTCCAAAATCATTATCCAAAAAATTTACAACACAAATATATGAATGGGACACTGGTAAGAGGAAAAAGTGACCGAGTTAGCCTAAATATCAATATACTGACAGTGCAAAGAATCTAATCCGCTGGTTGGCTAACTATTATCATTACGAAGTTTAAATATAGTTTCACCAAAAACAGGATCCAGCACAGTCACCTATCCACAGTTGTTTAAAATTTGACCCACAGAAAAGTCATGAGTGTAAGTATTTTGGCAGGAAGTTACCATATTTGATTTGGGAGGGGGCCTAAACTCAAAGCTGCTGGACTTTCTCTCCTCAAAGCTAGTCGCCAAATATGAACTGGAACCAACAGAGGCATGTGGCATTTGAGGCTTAGTCAAGGAACCGGTAGTGGGGGATGGCTCTGCCTGCAAGACCAAGAAAAAAACATACAAGGTTATTGATTCATGATCTTTCCCTTTCAACCACATGAGACCGGCAGAGAGAAAATTCTTATCTTAAACTAGTACAAAAACAAAGAAATAAAATATTAGGATATTAAGATCCAGTAATTATGAAAGCCTGTTACTCAAAAAGAAAAAAAAAAATTTGCAAGCTCAGAAACCTCCAAGAGAGGATGAACAACTGTCCTTATAAACGTCAACAATAAAGGAAAACCAAACTCATGAAATCATCTGAGGAAAGGAAGCCAATTGTAGAAACCTCGGGAACAGAAAAAGAAATTCTAAGAAATAGGAAGAAAGAAGGAAAGATTCTACAGCAAGGCCACTCAAAAGAGGTAAAAGCAAAAGACCTTTGTTTGTCATCAAATGTTTTCATTCTAGGAAAGTGACATTTATCTGTCTCAACAAAGCTCACACCCTAAATCTTATGCTTCACGGTAAGTCTGCCAAGAGAACATTCGCCCTAAAATTGGAGGCAAACACATCTTATCTCTTATGAGTGACGACCTACATACTTCTCATCAGCAGTTTTTGCTTCTGTGATTGTGACAAATTTTAACCATTATCAGTCCACTCATCCTCACAGATGCATTTATTCTATATTCCACAAACACAAATGGAAAGTTGATTGTATACCCAACAAGACCTCATAACAAATAGTAGAGGAAAAGCACAAGAAGCGACAAGAAGGAGGAAGATCCATTGTGTGAAAAAACAACACTGAGCAATAAAAAAGATGGAAAAGTTCAAGCAGGGCTGTAGAGAACAAAGCGATATTCCATAGAACAATCTAAACGGGCATGGACGTGCCAATGCAGATTATTGTAATAGCAGGCATCAGAATCTTAAACAAGGGCCCGCAACATCAGCACCACCCAGATATAAAATGAAATTTTATGGAGACGAAATATAGATATACTAACGAATTTCGAATTATTTCCTTGAGGAAAAACAAAAGCATCTTTTGTCAAATTAAAAACCCAAATCACATCATTGGAAGACTCCACAGCATTCTCCTTAAAGATACCAGAAAACCAGCAGAAACAAAACGACATGAAGCTCTACATTACATGGTCATTCTGGTTGCTAGAAGAAATTAAAACAAACCCACAAAGGTCAATAGGGAAAATAAAAAACAAACTTGGAAATTTGCGTTGATGAATTTCTCTTCCAAGCAAGATAATAAAAGCTGGTTAGCAACTTAGCTAAATAGAAAACAGAACTAAAGAAGATTAAAGTACAGAAAAGTTCAAATTACAATGACTTAGCATGCCACTTTAATTTGGTTTACTTTCTTTAGACCCATCAATGGATCTTTCCTTGAGATTTCAAACTTTTCTTTTCTACCCAACCAAACAGCAAAATTTGAAAGGAAAACTCCATTGCTTCCAACGTCACTTCCATTTTCCTCACACTCTCAAAGGCTAACAAAAGCACAAAAAAAAAAAAAAAAAAAAAGAAAAATGGAAACCAAGGATCCCAGAAGCCCAACTCTACCTTGACGTTGGAAAGTAAAACAGGAGACTCCAAAAACGACGTCGGACTCAGACCAGGAGGGATCGTGATGCAAGATGACCTCGAGATCGGCAACTTCGCCGGCGACATGAGCTTGTACCTGGCGCCGCCAGCTCCAGTTCCGTCGAAACCAGCCGGCTTTTGCGCCGGATCGCCCGTGTCCGACATGCGGAGTTGGAGCTGCTGGGGAGCGGAAACGTGGTCATCCATTGAAACAGAGAGAGAGAGAGGGAGAGGGAGAAATAGCGATAGTGGTTTGCGAGAGTGTGAATGGAAGAAAGAAAGAAAGAAAGAGACAAAGGAGGGAGGAAGGTGGAGTCAAAAAGAGGAGAAGGTTTTATAAGAGGAGGAAGGAAGGGTAAAAGGGTAAACAGGAAGAGTGAGAGGGGAGTGTGCAGGAAGGGGTGGGGGAGTGCAAGGAGGTTGTGTGTGTTAGTGAAGATTGTCAGAGAGGAGAGAAAGAGAGAGAAGTTGACTTGTTGCATTGGATCTGGGTCTGCCGTTTTTGTCATTTCCCTGTCATTTTATTATTTTCTTAAATTAAAATTCCACTTTAATTATAAATAAATAATTTTTTTCCAAATTTATAAATTTTATCTTTAAATATTAAAAAATTTAATTTAATTTAATTTCTTTTTTTTTTCTGCGAACCACAGTTATAAGTGAAACTCAGTATCACAACATTTTAGCATTCATTAAGATTCCTGCCATCCAAACAAGCCCTTGTTTTTATAATACATAAATTATTTTAAAAAAGTTTGAATTTTTAACATTTATACACATTAATTATTTTAATAAATTAAAAAGGTAAATATTGATTATTCAGTCCAACTTCAGATCATTGAAACTTGTACTTTTTATTTTATAATTCAGTGTATTGTTATTTGGGTTTTTATTATTTTACATAAATTATCAATTTTTTTTTTTAAAACAAGTTGTAATTTTATTTAGTTTTTATATAAAATATTAAATTACAATTAAAAACACGTATGATTAAAATTCAAATCAGAAAAAATAACACCAAGGGAAATTTGACACTTTAGGTGCCGTAATTTAAGGAGAAGCTATAAAATATATGTATAAAGAAGATGTATCAAGTAAAAAACACATCATGATTTGCCTTATCAACTTGTCTTCTAATCATTCTTCTGCATGCTCCAATAAAAAAAAATAGAAAATATCCTCTATCAAAATATATATATATATATTTTTATTTTCTATATTGACATTGCACGTATATATTTCAAGTCATTATAACTATTTCTCGCCGGTACATGTTTATGCTGCCCAAACCCTAATCACATCCTGCAACACAATATCTACCAGATATACTTACAGCAGAATTTCAGTAGGTAAAAATTTACTTGCCCCACCACCACTACTACTACTTCTACATGGCTATATAACCAGAACTGAATTCAAGTTATGATGTTCGTAAATACAGTTTGCAACGAGATACAATGCTGTATAGAAAAAAAAAATGTCGAAACCAACTCACAGAAAATAACAAGTATATCGTAAAACAGCTACGTGGTCTAACTTTAACAGCCCAAACGGAGTATCGTACTACTTCCAGAAATCTGGATTAAGGGATCAGAAGTTATATAACAGGAAAATGCAAATTCAGATGCCGGGAGAGAAAGATTTGGACTCAACAAAGAAACCGACTCAGGGGTGCGTTTTGTGAACTATTCTGGGTCATGCCATGTCTTAGATAAAAAGAATGGATTCACCTAGACATGACATACAACCGAGGGTTTTTCGTAAGCTCTGCAGATTCTAGCCGAAGAAAAGCTGCTTTTCCAAGCAACTTCCATTCTTGAACTTGCATAATCATCGTTTACACATCTCCACGTGTGATTGAGCAAATGAATGAGCATTTGTAAGAGGGACAAAGTCTCGTAGGAAGACAGATCTAGTTTCTATCGAAAAAGGAGGAGAAAATCTTGCTTGGAGATGTTGGTCAGTGATTCAGACTGGCTTATGTCTGAACAAAAAGCACACCAGGGACAAACTTGCAAATGGAAAAGATAAGACCAACTCACTCATCTAATTTGATGATTTAGGATGTTGATTGCCTTCTCTGCTCTAGCGAACCCTCACCTTAGAAAGTAAGAGCAGAAGAAGATCCTACAAAAAAATTTAAAATGACTAGTAGGATACTTGACTTGCTTAAAAGATAAGGGCTTATAAGCCCTTGTAACTTATAAGCTCTTCAATAACATATATGTTCTTAAAATTTCAAAATCGAATGAATAAGTGAAGTGTTGAAGTATTTAGATAACTGGGTCTATAAACTATATCTTTAAGCTGTTTGTTATGCTAAAACAAAAAAAAAAAAAAATTACTATACTGTTGCAAAGGTTTGAAACTTAAAAAAGACTGGAATTTGTAAAGTTGTTTAGGGACATCAAGACAATTACTTGGGACATTAAGGACAATTGCTTGGGTGAAAACTAACACTTCTATACAGTTTACAAGCTATCGAAAATGCAAAGTTTGTCCCCAACAGCTTTTCTAAAATATAATCATGAACTTTATAAGCAAGATAACCGCGTAAAAAGAATTTAAACATTGTCAGAGAGTTCATAAGCTCTTATTGACTGAAAAAAAAAATTGAGTCAAATACCCTCTAACTTAAAATGAAATACTGTCAGAGAATTCATTGTCTACCATGAGGAAGAGGCTACCAGTTTTGCCCATTTCTAATCGTTCAAGCAATGTCTTTTTGCCAGGTATACTCTCTCTCCCTGCTTTTGCAGAGGGAGAAAAGAGCAAATGAATATGAACAGAGATCCTAAATGTGTACACGTACTCAAGATACGTGTGTATACATAGAGAAATCATTCAAATGGATACTGTCAAAGGTTATACCTCAGACATAGATAGAGATTGAATGCCAGAGCATATATCAATACTTTCAACTCAACAAAAGGACCTTGTGATCTAGGGTCCTATTGAGTGCAGGATAGTAGTGGCAGAGAACTTCCATCAAGGTAGACAAGGAGAAGGGTTGAAATTCAAAACAATATAATCAATGGAAGAGGTTTCACTTTTCAACCAAACCTCTCCCACACATGACCAAAAACATCTAACAGAAGAATTCATGATATACCTGAATTCTTAATTTTTTTAAAAAAAACAAAAAGGGTAAATATATGTGGCACCAAAGAGTGTCACACCATATGTTGCAACAATTAAATCTACCTAACTTACTATATAATCTACATGATCAAAAAAGCAACTATGCTTTCTGATAATCAGACACACAACGTCAGGCGAAAGTGAAAATACCATCCAAAAGTTTGGCATAGCAAAGACGGAAAATGAATGATACTACCGAGGATAGTATGCTGAATGGTATTGAGATGACAAACCATATCCACCATAAGCAGTGGGCCTGTCATAATAACCAGATCCCACTTGTGCTTCTGAAGAATATAAATGGGATCCAGTAGGGTTTGGATTCCCAGGGAAACTCATGGAGGCTCCAGCCAAACCATAGAGTCCAGCTGATGAGTTGGCATAAGGAGCAACCATATGAACAGAGCCCACGAAGCCATAAGGCCCACCCTGTGAGCTCAAATACCCAGCAGAGTGATCTGGCAACAAACCTGCTGGCTGTAAATGAGGCTGCTGGAACTGGGGGATGGCTGAAGTGACAGCCGGTATATCAATATGCGCAGATGTCCGGGGACGCTTGGTCCCTCCTTGTTGCTTTTTCTTAGATTGCTGCTGCTGCTTCTTAGGCTGCTGCTTCACCTTCTGCTGCTGAGGCTTGGGGGTAGAAGCTGTTGAAGGACGTTTCCTATCTGCTTTTTGCTTCTCTAGTTGCTCAATACGCTTCTCAAGGCTCTCCCGTGGGTATTGAGACTCGAGATTGTGCCCTTCAATTACTTTGATTACAGCTCTTAGTGCACTAAGTTGTTTGGCAATGGCCTCATTCTGCATGAAAATTTTGATTATCACATTTGTAACAGAATTTTCAAAATTGAGCTACAAGTAATGCTGAAATGCAAGGACATGCAGACTTACCTGTGACTGAAGAGAGAACTTCCCTTCCTTGTAAACTTTGTCAGCAGCCATTTTAGACTCCTTTAGGTAGTCTTGCAATAAGGGGACTGGTGGGAACCTATCACTCATCTGAAACTCAAAAATAAATTTAATGGCAAGAAGTTGTTTGCCATCGTCTAAAAGTTTCTGAATAAGATCTGCGAAAAATCCAATTTATATCAGAGACTTCATAGCTGATCGGTAAGACCATTAGAGCAACAACAAAAAATAATTGAAATTGAGTTCAAAACCCCACTCCCTCTCATTCTAAAGTTGAAAAGTATGGGAATAAATATAAAATGCCATTAGAAGAGAACTGTGCAAAGTACCAATTCTCATAATGAAAAATGATTAGGAGAAGTCAAAACATTTTATATTACTTTGTTTATAGAAAACACAAAATTACACATGATCAAACATAACCTAACCTATTGTTAGTATGTATGCATCTGTGAGCACAAGCAGGTGATGACACAATAGCTCCCTTGTTTACGCCATGTTATTTCCATTCTATAACAACTATAGTTTCCTGGTCAATGTTACTGCCCCCATGGTCTTACCTAAATAGCAGCCTAGTCTTCTATTCACTGTCCGATATGCTAAGTTTCTCGACATACGTATAAGTCCCAAACTTTTTGCGCACATGAAAAAACTAGTGCCAGTGTATATGCATCTGAGAGCACACGCACGTGATGACACGATAGCTTCCTTATCCACACCATCTCCTTCCCATTCCACAGCAATTATAGTTTCCTACTCAATATTACTATCTCCTCCCACTGCCTAACATGAAGAGACAGTGTCCTATATTCTACTTTCACAACATAGGTAAAGTCCAAATCTTTTTGTTCATATAGATAGTAGTTTGAGGCATAAAAGAGAAGTTACAAAACCATTACTCTCCACATTCAACTACACGACTTCATTTAACATGTCCAATATCTTATACATTAGCCAAGCACCCAATGCACCCACTTCAAAAGAAAATAGAATGAACTATTTTTCCTAATATGATTAGAAGATTTCATCCATGAACATCCATTGCCTATGACTATCAATATTCAATAAACTTAGGCATCAAGAATAAACTCTAATAAGAAATCAAGCCACAATCAGACATTCATATTGAGATTTGCATCAAATTAAAATTTCAAACACTTCACCTTCTATCTCTTGTCTAGGCCATAAACCAAAATCCCAGAAACTAAAGCATCAATTATGAAACCTCAATTATAAAACCAAATAAAATGCCAAATATTGGATTGAACTAAAGCATTCAAACATACCAGAAACTTCATCCCCTAAACCAACAGCCCTGCACAATATGGTTGCTTGTCTGTACCTTGCAACGGTAACAAAGTAATTCACAAGCTCATCAGTACTAAATTCAGGCCCCAATCCATAAGCCGCCACTAAATGCAAAAACCCAAGTGCCTCTAAGGGGTTTTCACGAATCAAATTTGCCTTCATCTTCCACTCATTAGCCATGCACTTAGCTCTCTCCCTTACATGGGCAGCCAAGTCGGGCTTTATCTCCATTAACTGCTCCAGCAACAGCACACAACCCCTCCTTATGCCGCACAATTCCGGGTCTCTATCGTCTCGACCCTTCGAATTCTCCGCATAATACCCCTCCAATGCGTCCAAAACCATAGCACCCGGATCGGAAGCACACCGCATTGCATCTGGGAGCTCAGCCCGTATCGCATCTCTCTCTTTCGAATGCTCGTTTATATACTTTCTCAATCCCTTCCCGTCCATCTTCTCACACAAAACCCTCAACTCCGTACGAGCCGGAACCGACTCTACCTTCTCCTGACTCTGAGGGTCAGACGAACTGGACGGGTCTCGCAACTCCTGCTGATTATTCTCCAAAGAGCAAACCAGCTCGCGCCCATTCGGCACCGAGTCAACCAAATTTTGATCAGGCTGGGGTAAGGAAGAGGAGGGCTCTCGCGGGTTCGCGGAGACAGTGTTAGCGTGGTTTGAAGACAAATTCGGGTCCTGTGGTGGTTGCGTAGCCGACTCGAGCATCTCGAGGAGATGGAACCGGTCGGAGAGCGAATTCTGGACGGAGGTTAAGTAGGAGTCGAGGTCGGACCAGGGAAAAGTGAGAGAAGGAGAGAGAAGAGAAGAGTGGACTTGAAGCTCGTCGTAGGCTTTCTTGAGAGTCTCCTTTTTGGCGTCGATGAGCTTTATCGCCGCCGAGATTGTTTTCAACGTCGCCATTGTCGTCTTCGTCGGAGGTTGTCTGGTTTCTCGGGTCGGGATAAATAAACAGAGAGTTTTGGGGGGATTAATATTTTTAGTTCCAGGGATTAGAGGAGACCGTCAAACACAACCGAATAGAAACGACGTCGTTTTCGCACCTTCGTTTTTCTAATTTTTTTAATTGTTTTATTGAAAGCCCAGTTGGGTGCTACTGGATGTTCTGGAGAGTAAAATTACGATGAGGCCCACAAGAGCAGAAGATACAGTGCCCTAAAGTTGGGCCAATATTCCATACATTTAAATAATATAATATTTATTTAATTTAAGGTTTATTTATATAATTTTGTAATATATCATGGTGATTTTGAAGAGAGAATTGTGATTAATTATATTTCTTAATCAATTTTATTATTAAGTAGAAAGATGTTACAATAATCTTAAGAGAAAATTTTAAATTTAATATCATAGAAACAGATTAATTTAATTAGATAGAGGGTATATTATATAATAGTTTATAAAATTGATATTCCTTTTTTTTTTTTTCACAACTGTATTCACATGTTGCCCTTTAAAAAAGGGCAAATGACAAAGTTGGTGTTTCTGGGTTTTACATACTTACATCCATATAAATACCCTACTTGTAGGCTGGTAGTGGGACATTGAGCTGTTCATATGAATGATGCCAACTTTTTATTTATTTATTTATTTATTTATTTTTATCTCTAATTAATTATAATTACCTAAATCTTATAATTTTTTATTACATGTTATTATTGTTTAATCATATTCTGTTATACAGCTCTATACTTTATTATTATTTTATTATATGTTGTTTATTACATGATAAAAATAATATCAAATTTTAATAATAAAAAATTAAAATAAATATATTTAATAAAAAAAATTTCAATGTGGTAAGTCTTGATTAATTCAAATTGAGGAATCTAACATATTTGAAAATTTTTCTTTTATATCAAATCTTATTGTAAATGAAAATATCTAAGAACATTTTTCATATGATATTAATGTAACTTTTTAACGTGCTACAATGTTTTTAATGCTAATTAAAAATATATAGTTAGTCACGCTATTAATATGTACAATTTAGTTACGATATTTATTATAATAAATATGATAACTTTTTTTTTACATATTATGCTTGGTCCGAAATTAATTTTAGAATTAAAATTATGTATAAAAATTTAATTTTAAAATTAATAAAATTTAATTTAATATGAAATTATAAAGAAAAAAAATAGGTTGGGAACGAAATTGAAAATAATTTTAAAAAAAAATACTGAAAATTTAAGTTCGAATAGCGTTTTTTTTTTTTAAAAAAATTAGAAACTAGATGTCAGAACACAATTAAGAAAAATTCTATCATGTGAGACCGCCCAGTCAGCAGCCCCGACGAACTGGAGCACACTGCGTAGTAAGACATGCTGACTCATTGTCACACGGGAGATCACGCTGGCAATCCGCGCGTCCCACGATCGGACAGCTGGGAAGCATTCCCGCGCGCGTGCACGGTCCGGATCCATTTTCTCCCCAAGCACGATTAGACAGTCGCGATTAAATATGATGAACGGCTCAAATTTATTCCATCTTTAAACACGATCAGACAATTGAGATCAAATTGCGATGAACGGTTTATATTCATTTCTTCTTTAAACGCGATCGAACGGTCGAGATCAAACACAATGAACAACTCAGATTTACGCGAGACGGATATAAATATTTCGCATTACACCGAACCCAAACCCTAGCCGCCAGTCTCTTGTTGGAGAAAAAGAACCAGTCACCAGAAAAGGGAGTTACCTGCCGCCGCCGCAGCGCCGAAGCCACCTACAACAGCCAAAAAAGGTAGAAATTCTCCTATCCGCTCGGAATTTGATTTCAAGCACTCCCATGGCCAAGCCGAAAACTGCAGACAAAATCCAACGGTGCCGCGGGCAAAACCGCAACCACCTCCGATGAGCTCTTTCTTGTTTTTCATTTCATTCAATTTTTTTACCATTGTGTTCACCGTTCTATTTTTTACAGGTTGACCAAAGAAAACACCCAACCACAAAGGTGAGCCAATAGAGTTGTCGCATCGGAAAATTCTTCCGCCAGTAAGTTTTTATTTTTTTTACTTTTTTTGATCGACCGAGACTCCCTAACGTGTTTTCTCATAGGAATAGGTATAAAACCGGCCAAAACTAGCCAAAACTGGCCGAAAACGTCCAGGCTGAGGCAAACCGCGACTGCGGGTGACAGTGCCGTCACTGAAGAATGGCAGTGTCACCGTGCCGGAATTTTAAAATTGGTCGAAAAAAGTTTTTAACACTGATTTTAAAATTTTTTTAGGTATTTTTAAATACGTGAAGCATGTTTTAATCTTTGTAGAAAAATTCAGAAAACCCAAGGACCACCAGTAAGTGTAGTAGAAAGTTCGGTATTTTGCACTTTGATTCGAGTAATAATCATTCACCTTATTCTCTGTTATAGAATTGAAGTTTAATAATCGATAATATGGTATTTTGTGTAATCTAGAAAACTTGAGAATAATTACAGGTTAATAATGAAGTCGGAACCGGTTAGTTTTTTAATTACCTTGTTTAACTGATTGTCGAATTTACCGCTTTAAATACATTATGATATACTAGAATGTTTAAACGATTCAGTTGTGCTTTCTTGATATATATATTACTTGTCTTGCGTGATTAACGGTTGATTTGTGAAATTAGAAATTAATATGCAAACGAGAAATTGTTTAGTCACTTGAATTAATGAATGGTAGCCTTACTGAATATCTTGAGAGATTTTGGCCAGACCGGGTACATAGAGAATGTAACGGCCCCGGAAATTCAAAAAGAAATATATATAATAAT